ATAATAACTATTGAGGATGTATATAAACTTTTAGACTTTTAAATTATCTTTTGTTTTTACAATAACTATAGCTTCTTATATAAGAATTTCTGTTTATTAGAAGATGTTCTGTAAAAATGCTGCTTAATGGACTAAGTTTTGTCAATATTTATATGATAAGTTATAAGGCTGATTGTTTCTAATTTATTAAGATCTATAATAAGTAAGCAACTTTTTTCTTTAAAGAAAATGTAGGCCTCTTTTTTTTTCTTATTATTCAAAGTATTAGCTTGAATAAATTTTTTTAACCATTCTATTATATTAAGTTCAGGTTCTTTTTTTTTTAAATAGGCACTTCTTCAACTAATATTAGATATATCACTAGGCTAATTTCATCTTTCTATAGTTTTCTATAAAGGTCAATTTTATTATCAAAAGATTTAACTATATAATATTTATCAATCTTATCCAATTTTTTATTCTTATAAGTAATCTTATCAAATGTGCCACCACTACCTTTTTTTTAATTATTCTTTTTGAATTCTCTTAAGCTTTTTATATTATTATAAGAGATAGTTACCTTTATAGTCCAATTTTGGTATTTTAAGATTAACTGTTGTTTATCAAAATAAAGTCATGTTTTGGCTTTTTGAAACCAATTAGTTTCTAAGAGTAAAGTTTTATTTAATGATTCTATAACCTGTAGAGTACTAGAGATTACCATGTTTTGAACTACTATTCTTATATTATTAATTTTGCTTAGTGCTTTTGTTTTGGTACTCATAATTGTAACTACAATGATAGATAATTTTGACTATATATAAAGTTTTAATTTATTGACTAGCTTCTTAGTTATAAAGCTAAAAGCTGCTTCAGAATCTAATATTGCTACTACTAGTTTTCTTGAATTCTAATATACAATAAGCTGTCATTGTTTTCTTATTATTTTTGAATTTCACATAACTGGCCTTTTGAATAGGTAGCAAAAGTTTTCAAAAAACTAAGATAAGATTCTTCTTTTGGTTAAAGTACTAAAGTATCTGGCAAATTATAATATAAGCAGGAGTATTTATAATATCTTTTATAACATTATAGTAAATAAGTTTAACAATTACTAATAGGTCATGCTTTCTTCTTGGTCTTTTTGCAAGTACAAACTTATTTTCTATTATTATTTCTCTAAGTTAACCAACAGTAATACATTTATTGTATTACAATTTCTTAGATAATTCTCTTATTTAGATTCTGGTTAACTTTAAACTACTTTCTTACTATTTCTTTTGTATGCCTAGTATTAGTTTTTGTTTAAAGTGTATACTTTATTCTCTTTCTAGCCTTCATTACTACTATAAATTATACTTTTTTCTAATATAGTTGCTAGGATGTATTACTACTTATTCTTAAAATCTTTTTTAATATTAGACAATATGGCTAACCTCATCACAGTTATAACATATTATCCTTTTTCTAATTTTATGACACTTTTTATAATAATTATTTTTCTATTATTTGCTCTTATTATAAGCCTCTTTAGAATATTTCTTACTAAAGACAACATAATTCAAGTCTATTTGTTCAATTTTCAGAAATAGGTTGTCTAATTCTTCTTTCAACTTCTTTTGATGATCTTTCTCTTGAATCTACTTGTTACAATATTTGCTATCTTTAATTCTTTGTATACTAACAATAAAGTATCAAATTCAGAAATGAATACAAAGGTTAAGGTCTTGTCATGTAGTCTACTTAAAAACATTCTAATAATATAAAAATAAGGTAACTCTTTTTTGAAGTCCACTTTAACGACAAAACATTTAAATTTTACCATATATATATTAACCTTCTTATTCTTTTGTTATTGAAGATTATTTAACTTTATTTACTAATCATGTCATTTTTTTAATATAACGAAGAATTTTAGAAAAGTGTAATAAAAATTTTCTTCTTAATTATTATCATTCTTTTATTTTTTTAACTGTTTCTTTTTTTCTTTATACCAATTAGCAATCAAATCTTTAGATATCTAAACATGATCTTTAACATTCTCTGTTCAAATCAATTATTAGCTATAATGATTTTTTCAAATAACTTCAACTACTCAATAGGATCTTTATTATCATTTTTGTAAAAGTTTACAATCTTCATATAAGTCAACTTCCTTCAGTTTTTGAGATCCTTCTTCAAATTGATGATAATATTAGTAACTTGCTATACACTCTATTCATGATATATTGCTTATATTACTTATAACATATATACTAATTATACTGATAATAATGTTTATACTAATTTTTTTACTTATATTTTTATATCCTACTGATTTCTCTTATTGTGCTGATACCCATTATTAATCTGAAGCATAAGATACATAGTATACAGCAAATACAGTGTAAACCCATTTTAAGTAGATGATCGATATAGCTGTTAGTCCATTACTGCACCACACTGATCACCTGCTTTAACAAGCTTCTGACGCTACCATCCTATCGCTCACACTATATTGATATATTGATTATAATCAATATATGTGCTATAATCATTATAAGCGCGATAATGAATATCGGCACCTTAAAAATAGATAGAAGCTTTTTTATAAATAACATGTAAATTGGCTCGAATGTTTAATTAAGGGTTTGTCTACAAGTGACTGTAGAGAACCATTGGTAAAATAAATACTCACCTGTAAAAGTAGTAAAATCCCCGAAGTAGTGTGGAATACTGCAATTCTTGTAATAGCCTCAACGTAGTGTAGGCTATCCTTGGATAACCGGACCCGAATCAAACTCATTCACCAAATCTACACGACTTTTTCGACCGAAAGCCGTCCGACCACTACACAAAGTCGATCTTCGATTAGCAACAGACTCACCACACTTACGGGTTTCTCTCTATATTTATTTTATTCTATTCTTCGATGTTATGACTGTCGTCCCGACAGGCCATTTAAATTCTAAGTGACTGTCATCCTAACAGGCCATATTCACGGTTTTCACTATACAAGTCTTTCAGATCATTCATGACTGCCGTCCTGGCAGTCATACAAATTAGTTTTACTTTAACGTGAGTAGGATGGGAGGGATCGATATAACCAGAACGAAAGTCGAATTCGCGGAAAAGACAAAATTGACTACAATTACTTCTCCTTGCTTACTAATGTACTATGATTAATTATTACCTCATACTTACCTAATTACCTCATACTCACATACTAACCAATTTTCGTTTGACCTAATGATCGATCGAACATGTGACCGTAACCGGACTTGTCACATGTTGACTGATTCGAAGTTGCCTCGATACATACGTATCGAGCAACTTTTTAAAAAATACTACGAATCGGAAAAAAAATAATAATAATAAACGAAAAGCAACAAATGCAAAAATTAACCAATCAATTTGCGGTAATAGCTTTTTATATATATTATTATATTTTTTACGACCAATAGAATTGCTGTATTTTTTTATACCCTTTCCCTCCACTCCTATGACTATTTAATGTTATGCTGAACGAAGAATCAATTTGGACTGACCTAATTAATAAAAAATATATATATATAACCAATTTTTAATGCTTCTCTGATATCAGAATGGTCTAATATATTTAATAATTGTTATATGGTTACAGTACTGCTACTTCATTTTAACTCCTTTAACTCTTTTCACGAAATCTATAAACATTATAACCAACAGCTTCATATTATTAACCTACATTATAGTAAAGTTTCTTTATTGGAACTTTTCACAAATAAAAGAGTATGAATTGCCTATAGGCTAATCACAAATGTTTAAACATACCTTTCATCTAACTTTCAAATTTTTTCGTGAGTTATCGAATTATTTTGATAGTTTATAAAACGAAACATATACTTTAAGATTTTTAGTCACAACTTTTTACAATTCGTTTTCATGGTGTACAATTGGTTTAAAGTTGACTAGGAGCTGTTCTAATATGTAAAGATTATCAGTATAACATTCCGATCTTCTAGGCAAGCCCGCTATGCTATTTGCTACGTAGTAGTGTCATTAACGGCTTGTCTAATTGTTGCATAGTTTACAAAGAGCCTCTACATTTAGTAAAAGGTAGAGATGGGCAAATCACAGTTTTGCCAAAAATCCGCGCGGGATTCGCAGATTGTTACCAAGATTACTGTAAGTTTCGGCCGGAATTATGGCATTGGACGAATTATCCAGAACACCACGTGATGAATCCTGCGCGGAATCACGCGCTTGCCCATCACTATTAAAAGGATTCAAGTAGATAACGAACTATGTAATGAGTCGAAAGGTGAACCGGATATATGGATCGAACGACTCACATGATCATGTGATCGATCGTGGAAACCATAGTGTTGAGCGGCGTTAGTAAGATAGAATTAAAGGTTTATTTTATTAACAAGGACAAGATGTTAAGTGTTACACGAAGAAAGTTTATTTTATTAACAAGGAAGATAGTTTAAGTGTTACGCAAAAAGTATGTTGTAAAGTATTTTATGTAATAGCGAATGTAGGTAGAAAGAACGGGTTAGTCTCTTGACTGGTAATTAAAGAACCGTTTTGTTTAAGTAAATACTTACGTGAAAGTAGGAGCGTTTTGAGTGCAAAGGTGTGTGTCTTGTGCTAGTGGTATAATTAATCCCATCTGAACAATATTTCACTCACTACGGTGATTGTCCAACCCAACATGATTGTTTAATCATGGTCAAATTAACGTGCTTAATTTAATCGGCGTCTCGAAATCACGCATGTCTCACATAATATATCAGAAAACTCATAAAATAGTAATGATCAGGGCTCAGAAAATTGGCTCTTTATCCGGGAGTAACGCGCATGGGCGTATTCGAAATAACACACAGGTCATTGTTTTGCATTCATATAGTAATTAATCTAACTAATGAAGGTAAAAGTTTTCGCGAAGCTAATTAAAGTAATTATTGAGTAAAAATACATTCACCATAAAGCTATATAAGAACATTGAGCCTGGCTAGCTATTCAAATTTGAGCAATATCATATTGTCATGACTAATATGAAGCTTTATTACCTTTTATTCTTATCCCTTTCGGTTTTCACGGTTTTCTCTTATTCTTTATCTTATGATGAAGACGTGGATTCTGAGAAATCGGTTCTTCCTCAAAAACGTCCTAATTTTTGTGAAACTAAAGAAGGAAGATGTTTACAAATATGTGGTCTTCCATCAATAGATATTCCATTATCTCAATATATTTGCTTTCGAAGGTGCATGAAGCTTAAAATAGTTCCGAAACCCCAATAAAAAAACTTTTATTTTGGAGTAAGCCGGTAATTTCAAATTCTATTTCAAAAATGCTATTCTTAAAGATCAGAATGTAATAAAATAATATATATATATATTAGTTATTTCGAATAAATTTGTGAAATCACACCATTTTCGACCAGAAATTATCTATTAGTCAAAATACGAAATGCTGTATAAATAACTTTTGCATTAAATACTACGTCATTTGTGTTGCCGAATAGATCACATGAAAGATTACGCCAAAAGTGTTAACCAATCAAAAAATCTTACGTACAAATTTCAATCCCATAATTTTTAAATTCATTGTGCACATAAGGTATATAAGTTTACAATTACCAATTACTGTTGTGTTGATAAGAAAGGAGAGATAGTTGGCAATCCCCTCGATAAGGACGGAATTTGGGATTATATCCCTCCATCAACAATAAGGCATTTGTCAATCCCTTCGGGGTGCGACGTCTTATAAAGTTTTTTTTTCTTTTCTCTAAAATAAGCCTTAATGCTAAAAACGTATGGCTTTTTTTTTATTAACAGTTAAACAGTTTTTTTAAAGTTTCTATTGATGACTTTTGTTGAAATTCTGTAACTTATTTAGCTCATGAAAATTTGAAACGAGAAATATTGTAAATTCTATTTCGTGTGCATAATTTAACGTTAAGTCGTTTTCAACAAAAATTTCATACTATAATAAACTTATTATAATTTTAATAGCGTCCCTTATAAAAATTGACCTCTTCGGTAACAGAAAAAAATATTTGTAGAAACTTTTTTATTTTTGGTGCAATAAAGATGTTTACCTGCCAATGATTAAACAACATAAGGAACGAGATAAAGATGTATAGTACAGTAGTACTGCGAACAGTAATAAAACCTATTCTTTTAACACTATGTTAACTTAAAGACCAAAAATTATTTATTTAATCAACATTAATGAAATAATATTATCGTTATATAGTAATATCGATATATATAGATTTAAACAACATTTATAAATTTATAGAAAAAAAAATTCTATTAACACGTCTATAATAAAATTTAACAATCCCAATACTTTATTACATTCTAAACACTCCAAATCGTGTTTTTTCAATTGGCGCGTTTAGAGCAGCACTTAGTGCTAATCCAAGAACTTTACGTGTATCCGCGGGAGGAATAACTCCATCATCCCAAAGACGTGATGATGAAAAGTACGGATGCCCTTCATGTTCATATCTGGCACGAATTGGATTTTTAAATTCTTCTTCCTCTTGCGCTGACCACTGATAATACATTAATTAAAATATGAAGAAATTAATGATGCTTCATTTTACACATCAACAACTATTAATAGCCATTAATATCCACATACCTCCTCGCCTTTTTTAACTTTTGATTCTCGTTTAATTTGTGCCAAAACACTTGCTGCTTGTTCACCACCCATGACAGATATACGAGCGTTCTGTCATTATTTGATTTAAGATTAATTAAATGTTAAATAATCCAAATAAAATTTGAAATATTTAACCTACCGGCCACATCCATAAAAATCTTGGACTATATGCCCTTCCGCACATACCATAATTACCAGCTCCGAAACTTCCTCCAATAATTATTGATAGTTTTGGTACTTTCGCACATGATACAGCAGTAACCATCTTTGCTCCATTCTTGGCAATACCACCTGCCTCTGCTGATGATCCTACCATGAAACCTGTAATATTCTGCAAAAAAATAAGTGGTATACCACGTTGTGCACAAATTTCAATAAAATGTGTTCCTTTTAATGCTGATTCTGAGAAAAGAATTCCATTATTTGCAACGATTCCAACAGGATATCCGTGAATATGTGCGAATCCTATAATGTAATTCATTATATAACCTTTCTTTCATTAACATCAATGAATATGATCAGAAAAGTCTTACCAGTAATTAATGTTGTTCCATATAATTCTTTAAATTCATTAAATCGACTTCCATCAACAATTCGTGAAATTATATTTTTAACATCAAATGATTTACGCAGATTATCACCCACAATACCACCAAGCTCTGATGCAGAATATAAAGGTTCTTCTGGTGTCCTCATCGTAATCTAGATTTTTAGATTTTATAAAATATATATCAATAAATTTTTAAAATACCATAATTTATTTATTTTAAAAAAAGAAATTATTATTCACCTTTGGTTTTTTTGTCCAATTAAAAGAATTAACAACATTTCTTGCAAGTTGAAGTGCATGCTCATCATTTGTAGCGTAATAATCAGTTACGCCGGAAGTTCGACCTAAAATCAAATGATCATATAATATTAAATATGCATAACATTAAATATTTAAAATCTTTTGACTGTAAATCAATCAGTGCTCACAGTGTAAATCAGCTCCCCCAAGCTCCTCTGCGGTGATATTTTCACCAGTTGCTGCTTTAACCAAGGGTGGTCCAGCTAAAAAAATTGTTCCTTGTTTGCCAACAATAATACTTTCATCAGCCATAGAAGGAACGTAAGCTCCGCCTGCTGTGCAAGATCCCATCACAACCGCAATTTGTGGAATTCCTGCTGCAGACATTGTTGCCTGTTCTGATATTCATGAATCTATAGATTCTTTAAATTTGAATAAAATGTTTAAACCACTAACCTGATTATAAAATATACGTCCAAAATGATCACGATCTGGAAAAACTTCTGCTTGTTGAGGAAGGTTTGCACCTCCAGAATCAACTAGATAAAAAAAAAAAAAACTTGTAAACTAACCGAATTTTTTTTTAATTTGATGAAATATATATCTATTAATATTATTTAGATTTAATACCTAAGTATATGCATGGAAGTCTGTTTTCGAGCGCAATTTCTTGTGCTCGCAAATGTTTTTTTACTACACAATCATAAGAATTATTACTAATTAAAATATAGATGTTTTTATGATGGAAAAAGATTTATTTTACCTGTGATAGGATAATAAGTACCACCCTTAACGGTTGAATCATTCGCAACAATAATGCACTCCACTCTACGTTAAAATTATCAAAGCTTATAAAATACTTTTTTAAAAAAATTGATTGAAAGGAGATTTTACTAACTCTGAGACACGTCCAATTCCAGTAATTATTCCACCAGCGGGTATATCATCTGAATATAATTTATACCCAGCAAGCTGTGAAAATTCTAAGAAAGGAGACCTGAAATATATAAATTTATATGAAAGAATCGTCACAATAAATATTCATATGTAATCGTCGAATAAGAATTAACTGACCCATTATCTATTAATCGATTTATCCTAATAAATGATGGATTAAGGGTATAGAGAATACAACAAATGAAATTAAAATAGTATACAAATTGTAATGTTTAACGAAATATAAAATTTGTATACGCTGCCCCAAAAAAATTCTTTATGATAAATCAATGAATATTTTTCATACTGAATTTTTATTGATATTCAAAAATTAATTTTTCGTAGGCAGTGTATCTTGTAAATAAAAAAATACCTGTCACGAGGTAACAATTTTTTACGGCCCAAATGACGCTTTCTAGCTTCCTCGCCACCACCTACATAAATAATTTTTAAAAAAAGTATTTATTAAAATGGATAGGTATAAGAATCATATAAATTTGGATATCTTTTGTTTTATAAACATTACCTAAAGAAATTTTATTGATAAGTGTTTCCAAGTCTTTTACCAATTCATTCATTTTAATAGCATTATGCTATCCGAATCAATAAAGTTTTAATAAATGACAAAAATAGAAATGGATATAAAGGTACTAATATTTTATCACGATATATTACTTTAAATTCTTCACTTTTTGTATCAACATTATTTTGCAAGATACTCGCATCTTTTTCGTGCCAAGTATGATAATTCGTTAAAAATTTTATGTTTATACTTTTATTACGAATGTTTTTTGCAATTTTTTTTCGAATTAGAAACGAAGGAATTCGATTTAAAAACATTCCTAAAAATATATTAAACGGTTTTTCGATCACTGACTGTATATAACTCGATTTTCATGTGGCTCAAGAGGTCGTACAATACGCATTTGGTTAGCATAGTGATCATTAAGTCCAATTGGTGGGTTTCTTATTTTGGTGTTTGATACTTCTGGATACCTGTATCCATTACAGCTGTTTTCATAAATTCCGGACGCTTAAAAATTTCCTCTTTTCACGAAACCTCCAATATCGTTCTAACGATAACCCAATTTTTCAGAAACCACATCACTGTCTTCGAAACGTAGATCCGGAGACATTGATATAGTTTCCGAAAAGTTAGTTTATTATTAGAATGAGATTAAAAAGGATTTGTGAAAAAAAGAAAATTTTAAGTGTCTCGGAATTTATGAAAGCTGCTATAATCAGTGTTGGCATTTGGATTATGTCCAATAAAATTTTTAGTCACTCTTGATATAGTCACACTATTTTTTGGCCTTAGCTATTTTATAAAACATACCATTGTGCCATACAAAATTAAATAATTGTTTCTCATTCTTAAAGTGACCCGCCCGGCCGGCCTTTAATTTTTAAATCGCAAAAATTTTATAAGTTTTCTTTGTCTAGAAAATATTTAGAACGTATAAAATTTTTTATTAAAACCACTCGGAAGTATTTATAGTAAATAACATAAAATTTTGTACTGAAGATTTACAAAAGCTACAGTTCTGAGGAATCTTGAGCTGTTTTTAAAAGTTTATTGATTCAATGTTATCTGCTTGATCTTCATTTAAAATAGTATCATTAAAAACATTTTTATCATCTTTATAATTTACTTCCCGTAATCCCAAATTCTTAGTAAGTATAAACTATTAGTTATTGCATTAATCGCATTAATCACATTACACATAAAACTTATCATTGTATATTTATTACTTCCTAAAAGATTAGTCACTTCTGCAAATGGTTCAAGAACTATAATGAGATTTTTTATAGTTTTTCATTTAGACTCTGTAAGATTAATTTTTTTAATTTGGTATTTTCTTTTTATGTTTGATAATCTTCTTTTAAAGAAAGCATAATAATAATAAGATCAATTATGTTTTGAATTTTAAT